AGCAACTGGAAAGATTAGATAGGAAATTTAGGGGGCAATGACTGTATATTAAGAAGGATGGGTAACAACTCAGAAAAGAAGGGTGAGTAACAACTCAGAAAAGAAGGGTGAGTAACAACTCAGAAAAGAAGGGTGAGAAAAGTTGCACAACTCATGGAATGTAATCAATGTCATTAAATTGTACATGTAGAAACTGTTAGATTGGTGGTTTTTGCCATGTATATTCTCAAAACAATTTTTAAAAATAATTATTAGCCATACTACAAAAAAACATTGTTCTACATCCTACTTTGGTAAGTAGCATCTGTGATCTTAAAAGCTTGCAAGCGGCCATCTAGATGCAACGATGGATCTCTCCTCATCCAAAGCAAAGAAGAATGAAGAAAACCAAAGATGCATGGAAACAATTAGTCCAAGGGACTAGGAGACCATGCAATCCTCAGCCTATATGATCATGAGACCAGAAGAACTAGACAGTGCCTGGCTACCACTGTCAACCCCTCAGACAGGGATTGGTGAAGGATATCCTGGATAGAGCGGGAGAACAATGTGGAACAAAACTCAAAATTAGTAAAAAAAAAAAAAAAAAACAGGTTTGCTGGTCTGATAGATCCTGGTGAGACCCCTAAGACTATGGCCCCTAGCTATCCTTCAGGTCTGGAATTTAACTCATCCTGTGACTTCCAGCCAAATAATAGGCATATGGGCTGAACATTTACATCAGGTAGATACACTACTTGGAGCAATCAGTCACGGAAGAACAGAAGGGTAGTTTATGCACAGGCAGACAGCTCAGGGGGTGGGAGTCCATGGGAGGGAAGGACACAAGAACTACAAGGTAACTATAGGGAGGAAGTGGGAAGAGAGCTGTTACATTGTGGGGAATTTCAGTCAATGTCATGAGACAAAATGTTATGAACAACTGTATGGAAAATGAATTTGCTCTGTAAAGTTTCACCCTAATCACAATTTAAAAAAAAATTTAAATAGTAATAATGTTGGCTAGCAGTATCATTACTTGATATTTTCAGCATCTTGAATATGATGTATCTCTGTTATCCTTATATCTTGACACATAGTCTTTCATCTGCCTGGAATATACTTTGCTTAACCAATTCCAAACTCATCTTCTAACTCTCAGCCTCAATGTTACTTCCCCAAGGAACCCTTTTCTGATCCTCTAGACGAGATTAGAATCTCATCTTGCCTTTTTCCTCATCATGCCATATTTCTCTTTTAATAGTGATCTTCCTTATTGTACAATAATCATTTATTTTATGTTTGTTTTTCCTACTAGACCAAAAACTGTGTGAAGGAAGGAACTGTTTTGTCTGTCTTGTTCACCCCTGTATCCTCAAGGCCTAGCACAGTGTCTGAAATACAGTAGGCATTAGATAAATATTTGTTGAAATCTATAAACCTAGTCTGCTTCTAATGTTCTAATAAATTTCCTATTCTAATAAATTTCCTCAAAGTAGATAAATTACACATGTAAAAAGTGTTGAATTTGCATGTTTTGCTGTGTATAACCTCAACAAAAATAAATAAATAAAATTTAAAAACAAAAAAACTCTCTGCCATCAAGTTGATTTGACTCATAGTGACCCCTCCTTGGGTTTCCAAAGAGGTATCTCTATGGAAATAGATTGCCCAATCTTCCTTCCAAAGAGTGGTTGGTGGGTTTGAAACGCCAGCCTTCTGGTTAGTACCCAAATGCCTTAGGCACTACACCACCAGAGCTCCTAAAGTAATAGTAGGAAAGTAATAATAGGAAAGTCCAAAGCTGGATCCAGGCCTGGTTGACTCAACTCATCAGTGTCTACAAGATTTCAGTTTCCTTCTGGCTCTCTATTCCTCTGACCACAGCATCAGCTTCATACTAAGAGCAATATCTCTTATTACCACAAGACGATTGTCAGCAGAAACGGGGCAACAAACGTCCTTGTTTACATCCAATGAAACAGCCAAAGAACTCCAGTCCTTCCCCGCAGTTTGATTGTACCAACTTCAGTCACGTGCCCAACCTGGACCAACCACCATCCTCTGGGGAATACCTCAAACTGGCTGAGCTAGCAAATCAGAACGGATCCCTGGAGCTGGGAATGCAGTGTATACCTACACAAAATCAGGTAACAAGAAATATCTGGTAACTCTTTATGGTAGTTAAGTTTGTGTGTCAACTTGGCTGGGCCTGGTTGAGTGGCTGGGCAGCTGGATGTAGTTATTCTCCATAGTGAATTGGTAATTAACTCCATGGTGCAATCTATTGAAGCACCTGAGTAGCTGCTTTAGGGGTGTGGTCTGCTTCCTGTCTATAAGAAGCAGCTTTGGGAATGGTCTCTAGCCTTTTGGCACATTTGAACCCTGCGTGTAGCCGTGTCGTTGTTCAACAGCCTACCATGTCCTGCTGATCTTAGGACTTTCAATGGATTTGAATTAGTGGGCTGTCACTTTGTTTTGTAGGAGTCCCCAAGGCGACAGAAAGCAGCGGCAGAAGGGGCCGGCGGCCAGAACAAGTAGGGGGAAGCCCTGGAAGTGAGCAGAGTGGTTGGAACAGCTAAGGGAGAGGAACTTGTCTGTCGGTTTGTCGTACTGTGGTGGCTTGCATGTTGCTGTGAGGCTGGAGGCTGTGCCAGCAGGGGTGCCCATGGTGGACCAGTTTTGTTGGAGTTTCCAGACTGAGACAGACTTGGAAGAAGGAAGAGGCCATCCACTTCTCAAAGAATTGGCCAGTGAAAACCTTATGAATAGCAGTGAAAACAATGTCTAATACATCACTAGAAAATTTTATGAATAACCCTGAAACATTGTCTGACACAGTGCTGGAGGATGAGCCCCTCAGGTCAGAAGGCACTCAAAATATAACTGGAAAAGAGCTGCCTCATCAGAGTAGAGCCTACTGTAATGATATGGATAAAGTAGATGGTCTCAAGTATAGCAAGGATCATGGGGCTGGCACAGGACCAGGCAGTGTTTTGTTCTGCTGTACATAGGGTAGCCATGAGTTGGAGACAACTCAACGGCACGTAACAACCACAACAACATGTTGTTTGGTAACATTGGGACTGTGCCATTTTACTCGTCAACCTTGGGCTTTTCAGCCTCAGCAGCCAGCAACCGTCTGAGTGAAGAAACACCTCCGGCTTCAGTGGGCCAGGAACACAAGGCAGAGCTGAAGCCCAAGGTTGAAGGGCTTTCACCCAGCCCCTAGAGCCTGGCACTTTGAACTTGGACTTAAAGCCTCCAAAATTGTAAGAGAATATCCTGTTTCTTCAAGCCATTCCATTTGTGGTATATTCCTGTCAGAGTGGCACTAGGTAACCAAAACATCTTGAAGCACTTCAAAAATATATTTTAAAAGTATATGTTTAAAAAGTATATATAAAAGGTTAACCAAAGCAAATCCACTGCCATTGAATCGATTCAGACTCATGGAGACCCTATAGGACAAAGAACAACTGACCCATAGGGTTTCCAAGGCTGTAATCCCGAAGAGCAGCTGGTGGGTTCAAACTGCCAGCCTTTGGGTTAGCAACTTAACACTTTAACCACTACGCCACCAGGCATCCTTAAAAAGATTAAGAGACTATTAATCCAGGGAGGATCTTAAAAGAGAGGGTTACAGATGATATTCTTGAAGAAAGCTGTGCTATGAGCTAGAAGTATATCTAAAGTATGGCAGACATGAGATCCATTTGCAGAAAAATGAAACAAGATCTGTACCTCACACCACACACAAAAATGAACTCCAGATGGATCAAAGACTTAAATTCTAGAGATAAGTCCCTTGTCAGATATGTTATTACCAAATATTTTTTCCCAATCTGTAGGTTCTCTTTTGACTCTTTTGGACAAGTCTTTGGAAGCACATAAAAATTTAATTTTTAGAAGGTCCCATTCATCTGGCTTCTCTTCTGCTGTTGGTGCATTTTAAATTATGCTTGATAGTCTATTTATACCATATATTAGGGCCCTTAAATTTGACCCTAAATTTTCCTTGAGGAACTTTATAGTTCTAGGTTTCACATTTAAGTCTTTGATCCATCTGGAGTTCGTTTTTGTGTGTGGTGTGAGGTACCAAAATCCATTAAATGGGGAAGAGAATGTTTGTTTAATAAATGGTGCTAGCAAAACTGGAGATCCATTTGCAGAAAAATGAAACAAGATCTGTACCTCAGAGCTCTGGTAGCATAGTGGCTAAAGCACTTGACTGTTAACCAGAAGGCTGGCGGTTCAAACCCACCAGTCACTCCTCGGAAGGAAGGTTGGGCAATCCTACTTCCGTAGTGATACTGCCTTGGAAACCCAAGGAGGGGTCGCTATGAGTCGGGGCCGACTCGACGGCACATAACAACAACAACAACAATATATGGTTCAAACTCACCAGAAGGAATACTGGGCAATCTACTTCTGTAGAGATACCACCTCAGAAGCCCAAAGAGGAGTCAGAATTGACTCAAGGGCAGTGAGTCTGGTTTTGTTTTTTTAAAACTGTGAAAAAATAAATTTCTGTTTGTTAAAGCCACCCACTTGTGGTATTTGTGTTATAGTATCACTAAGGGAGCTCTGGTAGCGTAGTGCCTATGCCACTTGACTGCTAACCCAGCCACCCCTCAGAAGGAAGGTTGGGCAATCTACTTCTGTAGTGATACTGCCTCAGAAACCCAGAGGGGTCGCTATGAGTCGGTCCGACTCGATGGCACATAACGACAACAACAACAAGAAATTAAGGCACCACCATCATGAAAATATAAGCTCCATGAGGGCAGGAATTGTTTTTGACTGGGTTGTTCACTGCTGCATTCCCAGCCTGTGGAACACGTCTGACTGCAAGAGGAGGCTGCTGCAGACACGCAGAGGAGGAGGAAGGCTGGTAACTTGCCCCAGAGTAGTGGCAGACAAACGCACTCAAGAGATTTCTTCACTTGTGCAAAAAAAAGCTCTTAATGAAGAACAAAACTGCTGAAAAAAATATGCTCAATTTATTGTTTGAATTCAGATTAGTGTATGACAGTTGCATTCAGGCAAAAGATCATTTCTTCAGTACTTCCGGCAATAGCTTCTGCAATAATTTTGTATCGTCCCTAAAACAAAGAAAAGAAATACATGTAATGTAAAATGTTTGACGTCTCTGTTCTTAAGGCTTTTGAAAGAATTTTGTTGTTTAAATGGAAGTCATTTGAACTGAATTTAATATAATTTTCTGTTTTCTATTGACATGAAAGTTTGTAAGCCTTTGAATTCAGTGAGCATAAAACCCATTTGTTTTTACGAGATGATTATTTTTCACAGTTCTAAAAACTAGCCTGTGATGTTTTCAAACATTAGATATCATTTGTAAAAAATGGCTGAAGAATGTATATTTTAAAGTTTATTTTAAGTCACTAAGAAGTGAAACATATGTAAAATTTCATTGCTAGGTATGTAAAGTTTACATCTATATTTTTCATTGAAGCATTAATTATTTTTATAAAGGCCTGAATGTCCAGGCTAAGTTTCCAAGACAAATCTTGAACAAAAAATAAGTCTATGATTTATGTGATTTTATTCTCTGAAATAATTTGTATAATATATTTAGTATATTATATGAATTATATGTACGTTTAATACATCTGCTCACTTACCAATTGTCTTGTTAGGGTTAGGGTTAGCTGAAATTTCACATTTAGGACAATAGTAAAAAATCGGCTATCTAACTATTTCACATATCTGTCATAAACAAATGCCAAGGTTCTAGGTGAGAGTAACGCTGGCTATAATGGTTAAGGTTATGTGTCAACTTGGCAGGGCCAGGATTCTCAATGGTTTGGCAGTTACGTAATGTTGAAATCTGACAGTTACATAATGATGTAATTTGGCAGTTATGTAATGAGGTAGTCATCTTTCGGGACTCTGGTAGCATAGTGGCTAAGGCACTTGACTGCTAACCAGAAGGCTGGCGGTTCAAACCCACCAGCCACTCCTCGGAAGGAAGGTTGGGCAATCCTACTTCCGTAGTGATACTGCCTCGGAAACCCAAGGAGGGGTCTCTATGAGTCGGGACTGACTCGACGGCACATAACAACAACAAACAACAGTCATCTTTCATTCTGTGATCTGATTAACTCCATTTTCACATAACACTGAATTTTGCATAAGGACCTCGTTTTAGAGCCAACCATGTCGGTAAGTGAAGAGTGGGATTACATACATATCAATATTTAGTATAGTATCTAGAGAGTTATTGAATTATACACAGTGGTTGTCCAGTGTTCTATCTGATGATCATTCAGTGTACTAATACCAAGCATTTGCAATACTTGTTCATGTAACCTTTTCATATTCTGCAGAAAGAAGCACCAAAATACACCTCTACCCCTCCAAAAAAAAACTGCAAAAATAATCTTGAACATCTTAATCTTTAACTTATATTTTCAGAAGTTGTAAATTGCTTGTTTCAAATTTTTAATACAACTGCTACTGCCAAAAGTTGAGAAAACACAAAACAAATCTTGAACAATACCTTAGAAAATTTTATTTCCTTGAAGGAGAATGATACTGTTGTATTCACAGTCTCTGCAAAATACAGAAAGTTATTAATCATTATTAGATGTTTTTTACTTTGGTTTTTGTTTGTTCGGTGCACCCTTAACGCTTGTACTACTGGTAGAGATAGCCATAAGCAAAACTGTTTAGAAATAATCAATCTTACACCCTAACTAGCTGGTGTTCTCATGTGCTTCCTCAGAACTTCAGGGACTCTCTCAAACAGCCTGTACCAGCCCTCTCCCACTATTGTCTCTCTCATACACAGCCAATGCCCACATGTTAATTCTGATTCAAAGCGGCCCTATTGGACAGAGTGGAACTGCCCCAAAGGGTTTCCAAGGCTGTAATCTTTATGGAAGCAAACTATCGTACATTTCTCTTACAGAGTGGCTGGTAAGTTCAAACCACCAACCTTCTGGTTAGCAGCCAGTCACTTAACCACTGTGCCACCAGGTCTCCTGATATATCTCATGGACAAAACTGCTAATTTCCTTGAGAGCATGTATCACAATATGAATCTATCTTATTCCATGATTTAGTTACAATCTTGTTTCTTTCACTAGTCTGTGAGTTCCATGAGGGCAGAGGTTTTGCTTTGGTCACGCCTGACTCCAGGACTAGCTATATAATTTGCAAGTTCCAGCAAAAAATGAAAATATAGGGTTTCCTGTTCAAAAATGAGGGGACTCGATCAAAAAATTCAACAGACAATTTACCATGGAGGATATTCAAATAGCCAACAAGCACATGAAAAGAAGCTAGCCGCTGGAAGGCATTAGCTGTCACAGAGATGCAAATCAAAACCACAATGAGATACCATCTCATCTCCGTTAGAATGACAATGATTTTTTTAAAAAAATACTAATTGTTGATGAGGTTGTGGAGAAGCAGAAACCTTCATACTGCTGTGGGACTATAAACTGCTGGTAGTATTATAAATCGATACAGCCATTACGTAAAAGAGTTTGGAGATTCCTCAAAAAATTGAATATTTTACTCAGCAATTCCAATCTTAGGTATATACACAAAAGACCTGAAAGCAGATACTCAAACAGCTATTTGTACACCAGGGTTCATTGCAGCACTATTCACACTCCCTTCTTGATTTTAAACCATGCAGTATCCTCTTGTTCTGTTCGAATGGCAGCCTCCTGGTCTGTGTACAGGTTCCTCATGAGTACATATAAGTGTTCTGAGTGTTCTGGAATTCCTATTCTTCTCAATGTTGTCCATAATTTGTTATGATCCATACAATAGAATTTTTTGCATAGTCAATAAAATACAAGTCGATATCTTTCTGGTATTCTTTGCTTTTGGCCAAGATCCATCTGACATCAGCAATGATATTCCTCGTTTCACATCCTCTTCTGAATCCAGCTTGCATTTCTGGAAGTTCTCTCTTAATGTACTGCTGCAACCATTTTTTAATTATCTTCAGTAAGATTTTACTTGCATTCGATATTAAGGATATTGTTCAATAATTTCCACATTCTGTGGGATCACCTTTCTTTGGAATGGGCACAAATATGGATCTCTTCCAGTCAGTTGGCCATGTAGCTGTCTTCTAAATCTCTTGGCACAGCTGAGTGAGTGCCTCCAGTGCAGCATCCATTTGTTGAAACATCTCGATGGTATTCCATCAATTCCTGAAGCCTCATTTTTCACCAATTCCCTCAGTACTGTTTCACCTTCTTCCTTCAATATCATTGGTTCTTGATCATATGCCACCTCCTGAAATGAATGAACATTGACCAATTCTTTTTGGTACAGTGACTTTGTATATTCCTTTCATCTTCTTTTGATGTTTTCTGTATCATTTAATATTTTGCCCATAGAATCTTTCAATATTGCAACTCAAGGCTTAAATTTTTTCCTCAGTTCTTTCAGCTTGAGAAATGCTGAGGATGTTCTTCCTTTTTAGTTTTCCAACTCCAGGTCTTTGCACATTTCATTATGATAATTGACTTTATCTTCTTGAGCTGCTCTTTGAAATCTTCTGTTCAGCTCTTTCATCTTGTCATTTCTTCCTTTTTCTTTAGCTACTCTCCATTCAAGGGCAAGTCTCAGAGTCTCTTCTAACATCCATTTTGGTCTTTTCTTCCTTTCCTGTCTTTTTAATCACCTTTTGCTTTCTTCATGTATGATATTCTTGATGTCATCTCACAATTTTGGGTTTTGGTCATTGGTGTTCAATGCATCAAACCTATTCTTTAGATGGTGCTGTGTAGTAAATTACATAGTGTGACTTTTCTAACCATAAGTCTTTGTAAACTCCATGGTGGAATTTGCCATGAGCAACTGAG